TCAGCCTCCCAAAGTGCTGGGATTATAGACATGAGCCACTGTGCCTGGCCTCTAGTATCAATAATAGCATGAATTATGGGACCATTCACAGATAAAGAGAACATGACAAGTCTCCACAGATTTGAGGAGAACCACATATTTTGTAAGGAACATGGTGAGTTTGAGCTACTATGGGACTTTCGAGTGAAAATGTCAGTAGGGAATTTTCTCTACTCGTGGGGATTAAGCAGAGGGTCATTGGAGCCAGTAGGGTAGAAAGGTATTAAACTGCTTCAGAGCCTTCTCTCGCTTTCATTCATTTAATAAGCATTTACTAGGTGCCAGCGCCTAGGCTGGGTGCAAGGGATACAAAGTAAGACAAAGCTCCTGCCTTTAAGGTTCTCACAATCCACAGAGGGAGACAGACAAGTCAATATGCAATAATGCAGTTTGACAAGTGTTATGGTGGATGTATGTACAGTGCTATGAAGACAAGAGAGGAAGGACATCTAATGGAATGAGTGTAAAGGAGAAAGGAAGGGAAAGCTTACTGGTAGGAGCAATATGACAGAGAGGTGGAGAACTACAGTGGCCCTGAGAACACCATGCAAGCCTCCAACTATGGCAGGGTTTCTCAACCTTGTCACTATTGACACTTTGGACCAGATTATTCTTGATTATTCTTTGATGTGGGGAGCTGGCCTGTGCATTGTAGGATACTGAGCGGTATCCCTGGCCTCTACTCATTGGATGCCAGGTGCCATCCTCTCCCTACTTGGGACAAGCAAAAGTGTCTCTGGCTGTTGCCAACTGTCCCCTGGGGGGACAAAATCAGCTGGTTGAGAACCACTAAATTACAGGATCATCATTGATCAAGAGCCCCAACTGCTGTGATCTGAAATTCATCACCGTTTTCGTACAATGCCACAATTTCCATGGGCTATTTCTAGCCAAGGGACTGAGCACAGCAGGGACACTAAGGCAGTACTATTGTGGGGAGATGCAGAGTTTAGCTTAAGGACTTAACCTTACCAAACCTTTCTTTGACTGCATGACAGGCTAGGATGCCCCCACCCACCATTTCTTTCTTCCTCCTTCACCAAGGGTCAGACTTACATCAGTCTGATGGCTGTCTCCGCCTTCTCTGGCTCCCCCAACCATTTGCTCTCATACTGATATTTCCTTTACTGAAATCCTTGAACATTTAATTCCTTTTTGCTTTCTGCTTCTCAGAGGACCCAAACTAACATTAGAGGTTAGAATCTGAAATCAGAAACATCAGAATTTAAATCCTGGTTCCCCTTATTAGCTGTGCAGCCTTAAGCAAGTTACCATACTTCTCTAAGCCTCAGTTCACTCATATGTAAAATGAGGGTAATGGCATCCACCTTAGAAGGTTGTTATGAGCATTAAATGAACTACTGGATTTAAGATATTTAGCGTGGTGCTGGATAGCAAGTAAGAGCTCAGGAAGTTCCAACTCTTAGTAAAGGATGGATATGTGGGGAAAGAGGTGCTATGAGTAGAGTGATACCATGATACACAGGCATGATGTGAGAAATACCATAGAAAGATTGGAAGGAATGTAAAATGTTACAAACATTTTGGTATTGCTGGAACAAAGTGCAAAGCAGGAAGTGATGAGAAATCATATGAGAGGTAGGCAGGTCCCAAACTGAACAATTCCAACCACTTCAAACTTTTTTTTCTTTTCCTTCTTCTTTTTTTTTTTTTTTTTTTTTTTTTGAGACAGAGTCTAACCCTCTGTCACCCAGGTTGGGGTGCAGTGGCGCAATCTCGGCTCATTGCAACCTCTGCCTCCTGGGTTCAAGCAATTCTCCTGCCTCAGCTTCCCGAGTAGCTGGGATTATAGGTGCCTGCCACCACACCTGGCTAATTTTTGTATTTTTGGTAGAGACGGGTTTTACCATGTTGGCCAGGCTGGTCTTGAACTTGTGACCTCAGGTGATCCACCTACCTCACCTCAGCCTCCCAAAGTGCTGGGATTACAGGTGTGAGCCACTGTGCTTGCCCCCCTTCTACCTTTGTTGAATGCAAGTTATATTATTCTATCCTTTTATCATCTCCTTTGAGCCTTCTTCAACTTCTCTACATCTGCCTTTAAGCTGAAAACCCAAACCTTCACACAAAAGCCATCCAAATCCTCTAATTCGAATGGGACTGACTAGTTTGGAGAGAGACTAACGGGCTTGTTGCTTCACAGTTCCTCCCCTCAGGATTCCAATTTATGCAGCCTTGAATGGGGATTACTTGGAGGGAAAAAGATCTAATCGCTACTTGGCCCTTGCCCTGAAAACTCTTTCATTCAATCCAAAAACATTAACAGGGACCACTTTTTTCCCTAAGGAGAGTTAATCATTACTCCAACCTCCTACTCTGTGCTCTCCCCTCCCCCCAGCACACACATGCAAGAATCATCATGCCCTTGAGCATGAGAATTGAAAATCAAGCGATAATGTGACCGATGTGTGGATGTTGTGCCAGCTAAAGACCTGAATTCAAATCTCAGCTCCACCATTGAAGGGCTACGCAATCTTAGGCAAGTCAGCCTCTAGACCTCAATTTTCTGTTCTATATAATGGGGGCAAGAAATCATGCCCTGGGTGAGAAAGCATTTTGAAAACTACAAAACATTTGACCAGTTATTATTATTCAACTTGTGTCATTAAAGGAGTCTAAAACTACCTCTCTGATGCCTTTCAGAGTGTTCTATGCACTCCCTGATACCCTTGCCCAGGCAACAGATGTGAAGCAATTGAACTGGTCTTATACATAGGCAGAGAAACAGCTGCCCAAAGCTTCTCTGAGTAAAACAAAACAAAAGAATAGGCAGGCCGGGTGCGGTGGCTCATGTCTGTAATCCCAGCACTTTGGGAGGCTGAGGTAGGCAGATCACCTGAGGTCAGGAGTTCGAGACCAGCCTGGTCAACATGGTGAAACCCCGTTTCTACTAACAGTACAAAAATTAGCTGGGTGTGGTGGTGGGCGCCTGCAATCCCAGCTACTTGGGAGGCTGAGGCAGGAGAATCGCTTGAACCCAGGAGGTGAAGGTTGCAGTGAGCTGAGATCACACCATTGCACTCCAGCCTAGGCGACAGATCAAGAGCTCAAAAAAAAAAAAAAAAAAAAAAAGATAAGCAAAAAAGGGCTGGTGAAGCCAAGCTCTGAACTGGGTTTCTCATTCAGCTTTGCAAAACTTAAATTTATCTTCCTATTTCCTAAACCCACTTCTGAGGTTTAGCTACTCTATTCTTATTTCCCCTACTTTACCTGGCTTAGATGTTCACCCCTTTAGGGCTAAAATCATTCTCTATATTTTTGTCTACTTGTTTACTGTCTGTCACCCATATTATAAATGTAAGCTCCATGAGAACAGATTTTTTTTTTTTTTTGGTTTGGGTTTTTTTATTTTTGACTGTTAAATTCATTAATATATTTCCAGTACTTTTCGTCATGTATGACACGTAGCAGGCATTCAGTAAATCTCTTAATGAATGGATGGATGAATAAATGAATGCATTGGTGAACATCTATAGCGGCTTCCTTGCTTAGATTCCATCCCCCAGTCTCTCCAATCCTGTATGCACCCTCCTATCAAGCTTTACCTGGGTAGTAGGAAGAGTAAGGGGATATAGACTTTGAAAAGGTGGTGAAGGGGCATGAGCTCCACCCACAGGAGTGGAAGAGTAATAGTGAGAGGTCTTAAAATGTCTAGAACCATCTTTAAAAGTATATTAGAAGTGATAAAACATGAGTAGACTTTCCCAGTGTTTTCTGTGGAAAGCTAATCCTACAAATACTTTTCAATAAAAGGGTTCTGTGGTCAAGTAAGTTTGAGAAACACTGCATGATTAACTCCACACTCAGTGCACACAAAGATTTGCAGTGTATATTAGCATATTAAAGGCTCTGGGATGTCAGATAGTAAAGAAACTAGTTTAATTACGGAACCCTGTTATCATATAATACCTGCTGTAAATATTTTAGAAAATACTAGTCTAGGACATAACCATGATGAGAATGTTATCAGATTTCTAAAAGCTTGAAATCACTTCCCCAGAATTTTTTTTTTTTTTTTTTTTTTTTTAGAAATTACTTTCCTTTTGCCTACTTCCTTTTAGTCATTGCCAGCAAAATCTTTAAAACAAAATAGAGCTTTAAGGGCAAAGAGCTTGAGTGCCCTGAGGGAGGTACTAAAATTGGGGTTGGGTAAAAGACTTGAGAGATGGGCTCAGGCAAAGAGAAACTCAAGGAGAAAAATCAGGTAGTGGGATCTATGAGAAAAGGAAAAAATCAAGCTTCTTATGAATCATCCTTTCAATGACTATAATCAGTCTTTTTCTTCCCACACTCCACTGAAATTGCACTCACCAATGGACTCCTTATTGCAAAACCCAATGGGCATTTTTTCAGTCCTTAGCTCTCAGATGTATCTGATGCACTGTTCTCTTTTTGTTGCCCAGGCTGGAGTGCAATGGTGTGATCTTGGCTCACTGCAACCTCCACCTCCCGGGTTCAAGCAATTCTCCTGGCTCAGCCTCCCAAGCAGCTAGGATTACAGGCACCCACCACCACACCCGGCTAATTTTTGTATTTTTAGAGACGGGGTTTCACCATGTTGGCCAGGCTGGTTTTTAACTCCTGACCTCAGGTGATCCACCCGCCTCGGCCTCCCAAAGTTCTGAAATTACAGGTGTGAGCCACCGTGTCCGGCCCCCTTCCTCATTCTTGAAAAACTCTCTCATTGGGCTTCAATAAGACCATACCCTCCTGTTTTTTGTCTTACTTCTCTGGCTCCTCTAGCTCTGTCTCCTCATATCTGCCAATCCTTAAGGTGTTCACTGGGGTGTTCACTGGGTCTATGTTCTAGGCCCCATTCTCTTCTCACCTGACACATCATCCTGAACACTGTCATCTACTTCCACAGTTTCTAAATGCCATGTATAGACTGATAACTCCCCAAAATCTGTATTTATAGCATGGCCTTTTCTCTTTTTCAGATCACTATATCCAACTTTCTATTCAACATCTAGACTTGAATGTCCCATGGGTACCAACATGCCTGAAGCTGAACTCATCCTCATTCTTTGATCTCAGAAGATATCACCATCATCAACCCAGCTGCCCAAGTGAAAATTCTGGGAGTCAACCTCTATTCCTTCTTTCTCCCACTTCACATTCAGTCAGTCATCAAGTCCTGCCAATTAATTCTCCTAAAAATTTTTAAAATCCATTCACTTCTCTCCATCCTCATTGCAAATGCCATTCTTACTTCAGGCCCCCAAGTTCAGACCAACTTACTGAACTCCCTGCCTCTAATCTTGCCACCCTCTCTCATCTCCAATTCAATTGGTCACATTGCAAAAGAATGCCATTGATTTTTTTCCACACAGATCTGATCTTATCACCTTTGTTTAAAACACTTCAAAGGCCTTCAAGAAAAAAATTAAACTCTTTAACATGGTTTTCAAGGCCCTTCATAATCAGATCTTGCTTTGACAGTTCTGTGTAATGATTAGACTTGAGCAAGACTGGCTGGGTTCAAATCTCAGCTTTAACGCTTTTAGTAGCTGTGTATCTTTGAGCAAGTTAACCTCCCTGTACTTGAGTTTTCTGATCTATAAAATGAAGTAATTACAATGCCTACCTTCCGGGGTTGTTGTTTTTTGTTTGTTTTTGTTTTTTTTCTTTATAGAGTCTCACTCTGTCACCCAGGCTGCAGTGCAGTGACTCACTCTTGACTCACTGCAACCTCCGCCTACCAGGTTCACGCGATTCTCCTGCCTTAGCCTCCCACATAGCTGGGATTACAAGCACCCACCACTATGCCTGGCTAATTTTTGTATTTTCAGTAGAGTCAGGGTTTCACCATGTTGGCCAGGCTGGTCTTGAACTCCTGACCTCAAGTGGTCCACCCACCCCGGCCTCCCAAAGTGTTGAGATTACAGGTCTGAGCCACGGCGCCCTGCCAATATTAGCTTTTAGTAGTAGTATTCTCTCTTTAACTTTATCTCTTGCTTCTCTCTCTCTGTCCCCCCCTTCTCTAGCCACATAATATGTTTTTTTTTTAAATTTCTACAGCATGCCATATTCTCTTATTTAACTGTAAAATTCAATGGCTTTTAGTATATTTACAGAATTGTGCATTCATCACCACAATCAATTTTAGAACATTTTCATTACCCCAAAAAGAAGCCTCACACCCCTTAGCCTTAGGCAACCATTAATCTACTTTCTGTCTCCAAGGATTTGCCTATTCTGGACTTTTCATATACCTGGAATCATACAATATGTGGTCTTTTGTGTCTGACTTCCCTTCACTTGGCATAATGTTTTCAAGGTTTATCCATGTTGTAGCATGGATCAGTGCTTCATCCTTTTTATGGCCGCACCACTTCTCTTTCATCGCCCAGCCTTTGTACAGGGAATCCTTCTGTCAGTAATCCATCCCTTTTCTCCACCCCCTACTCACATGATTAAGTCTCATTCAAACTTCAGCCCTGTAGTTTAGATGGAATGACAAGACTTCCTCCTGGAAGCCTTTGAGGATCACCTTCTCCCATCCCCACCCCACCTAGAACTGTTTAAGTAAGCTTTCTAGGTGCTCCCCCCAGTATCCTGTATGTCCCCTATTGCTTATTTATTTATCTGTCTTTCTCCTCAACTGCTGGCTGAACAACAACTGCAGCCATATTTATATACTGCTCATATCCAGTACCTAGCAGAGGATGTGGCAACCACTAGGCACTCAATTACTTTGCTGAATTATGAAACAGGAACAGAAGGAGCAGGGCCAGCACAGAAAAGAGGAGGCTCAATTGGTAGCAGGCCAATGGAGGTTTTCTGCTGTGCTACCAGACTAAACTTTCTAAAACACTGCTTTCTTCAAGCCATATGTCTTCAAGCGAGATGCTGGGCCTGTTTCTCCTCTAAAAAATGAAGGATCCACCTGAATAATCCCTATAATCCCTTTTCAGCCCCAACACTGATTGCTTACAAGTATATGTTTAATTAGTCCCATAATTATGAAGGACAGTCAAAAGGATGCCAAGTGCATTGAAATACATTTCTCTGAAATTAATGCATAATAACTGTGTACAAAATAGGACTTTTTTCCCTTAAAGTATTAGCAATGTGGACTAGCTGGGGTCAAACAAACAAAAAAATATGATGTCTTACATGACAATAGTAAAGGAATACACTTTCCATCAACTAGAAGCTTTTGAATCCTCTTTTAATCAGTTCAATCTTGACACTTGATTGAAATATTAGCAGTAGGTGCCTCTTCATTTATCAGTTTTTAAAGGCCTGAATTAATTTCCCTACACTGGACTGTCTTTGTAAGATGGAACGGAAAGTAGGAGGCACCATTCCCTCTCAGAGTAGCACTTTCCAGCTCTAGATCTGGACTGCTCTCCATTAGAGAAGCCGGAACCAAAGATAGGCAGAAGCAAAAAAAAAAAAAAAAAAAAAAAGAATCTCAATATACTCTATGTATACCACTCTAGGGATTCAGTAACAGTAACTCCCATTTATCAAACACTGTATTGACCCTTTATATCATCTCATATAATGTTCCTAACAATTCCATGGGGTATTATTATTTTCATTTTATAAATAAGGAAAGTGAGCCACAGAGAGATTGAGCAATCACCCACGGTCATGTGACTAGTAAATAGTAGAGCCAGGATTTAAACCAGTCAGGTCTGAATACAGAGGTGAAGCCTATATTGGTACAGTATACATGCCTCCCATTATTTAACAATTATTCACTTATATATATTTCTCTCCCGCTGTTCTATGAACTCCTTTTGGGTTTGTGCCACCAGCACCTAGCCTAATGCTTGGCACATTGATTCATTCATCCCTTCAAAACAGATTTATCCAACGTATACCATGTGCTAACCACTGGTTGTGAGCACCTGGGCATACAGCAGTGAACAAGGCAGTTAAGATTCCCTGGCCTAGTAAAGCTTACAACTAGGTGAAAGAGACAGACAAGGCCAGGTGCAGTAGCTCATGCCTATAATCCTAACACTTTGGGAGGCCGAGATGGGGTGATTGCTTGCAGTCAGGAGTTCCAGACCAGCCTTGGGAGCATGGTGAAACCCTGTCTCTACAAAAAGTACAAAAATTAGCCAGGTGCGGTGGCTCACACCTGTGGTCTCAGCTACTTGGGAAGTTGAGGTAGGAGGATTGCTTGAGTCTCGGAGTTAAAGGCTGTGGTGAGCCACGATTGTGGCATTGCACTCCAACCTGGGTGACAGAGCAAGACCTGGTTGCTAAAAAAAGAGAGAAGAAAACAAGAATTTCTATGAAGAAAAAAAAGCAAAAAGAATGGGATTGAGAGTAGCTTGGGGTTGGGGGCAGTGCTTTGTTAGGCTAAGGTGCTCAGGGAAGGCTTCTGCAAGTAGGTGACAATTCATTTGAGCTGAGACTTAAACTATGAGAAACAACCAACCATGAGAAAGTCAGAGGAAGCAAGTTTCAAGCAGAGGTACTAGAAAGTACAAAGGTGGGAAAGGGTTTGGCAGGCTTAAGGATCAAAAAGAAGACGAATGTAGGTGGGGCATAGGAAGTGAAGGGGCCTATGGGAGGTATCAGATCTTACAGGGCCTTGTAGGACATGGGTACCTCCTATTATAATTACACTTAAAACTGGGACTGCTGCCCCCTATTGATTCATAACAAGAGCCAGGGTGGGAGAAATATGTTTTTGAAGGGGGAGACTCAGAGGCAGGATGCCTGAGCTTTGGGAAGAAAAGCATGGGCCTTTCTTGCACCTGCTTCCTCTTCCCCTGGGAATCCCTTCCTTTGTAGGCTACTCCCTTTTTTTTTTTTTTAAACCCTTCTTCTTCTTCCTCCTCCCCCTTCTCCTCCTCCTCCTTTTCTTCCTCCCCAACCCCCACATCTCTAAAACAATTTAAGCACACAGGCCATTTCCCATCAACTCCTCCTGGGACCATGAGACAGCCAATCTATGCCTTAAGCCTCTAACGCCAAAACCTTTGAGCCAGATAAGAGGAGGGAGCCGTGGTGATAGTGGCAGCAGCCATGTCGTCCCAGCTTGAGCTCAAAGCTCAAAGGCTTCTTCTGTCTGACCCCTGAAGGGAGTCAGGCGATTTTGGCTTAGTTAATACAAGCAGTCTGGAGAGCTGAGCTACCTAACTACTGTGACAAACAGAAAGGAAAACAAGACTCAGAAAAAGCCAATACCAGAGAACAAGAATTACAAGCACGCATCGGCACCCGCAGCAGACAGGCTGGGTGGAGGACTCCCAACGTAACATACGCACAGGTTTCAGAGCACCGCAGAATACCTTTGCCTCTCTGGAAAGCTAGTTGCAACACTTCTTACTCCCTACTGCCCCACTGTGGAGAAATGCTTTGGGAAAATGTTGACATGAGCGACTTGTGGAGGAGCAGTCACTGCCATACTCTTTCGACTTTGGACTCCTGGCAGTTCTCATTCCCTTTTTCCTCCAGCATCTATCAAGCTCAGAGAAAGAGGCTTTTGACACACATACAACGACGTGGTCTTTACCTCTCCTCATTAAAATTTAAGGCCAATAAAATAAACTAAACATTGAGCTTAACCTTTTCCAAAAATGGCAAAAAGTCGCGCAGGAAAATAGGAGGAAGGAAATAATAAAGATAAAAGCAAAAATAAATAAATTAGAGGTTGTAAAAACAATAGAATTAATAAATAAATTCAAGAGCTGGCTGCTTGAAAGGGCTAATAAAGTAGATAAAACTCTGGCAAATCTATGTAAGAAAAACACATAAAATTAGAAATGAGAAAGGGGATATAACAACCAGTATAAACAATATTTTTTAATTGTAAGAAAATGCTATGCACAATTGTATGCTAATAAATTTTTAAAATATAGTGCAATAGATCCTTTTTGTCTACAAAAATGTAAAATACTAAAATTCATACCACAAGTAGAAAAGCTGATAAATTAATAACTGAAGAATAAATTCAGAAACTGTCACACAAAGTTCCTAAACCTAATGATAAGTAGTTTTAAACCTTCAAAGGAGAAAACATAGAAAAAGTTAAGCATGTGCCTTTCATCCCACGAAACAAATATGGTTCTGATCCCCAAACCTGATAAACATAAAACATGAAAACTGGAGACCAAATGTAGACTATATTATAGTTGACAGGTCCAAAAAATTTAGCCTAAATACAAGCAAACATAGTTTAGCAAAGCTTGAATAGAGCAAAATATCACAATCAAAAAGAATTAATCCTCGGAAAGCAACAATGGTTCAGCCTAAAGCAGTCTACTAGTATAATGCTAACCATAGGTTAAATCAGTCCTTCTCAACATTTTTGTGGCATACATAGAAAATGAGACTGGGTTCAGTGGCACACGCCTGCAATCCCCAGCAATTAGGAAGGCCGAGACGGGCAGATGGCTTGAGTCCAGGTGTTTGATACCAGCCTGGGCGACATGGTGAAACCCTGTCTCTGCAAAAAATATACAAATTAGCTGAGAGTAGTGGCTTGTGCCCATCGTCCTAGCTACTCAGGGGCACTAAGGTGGGAGGATCACTTAAGCCCAGGAGGTCAAGGCTGCAGTGAGCCATGACTCTGCCATTGCACTCCAGCCTGGGAGACAGATCGAGATCCTGCCTCAAGAGG